TCTTTAGTCTTTCCTCATAGGAAAGGTCCTCCAACCCCCTAATCATTTGGTTGTCCCTTTATGTACTTTTTCCAGCTGTGTGATATTATTTTAGAGATACAGTGATCAGAAGTGCACACAGTATTTCCAAATCAGGCTGCACCATAGATCAATAAATGGGCATTATAATACAGGCCATTTTATTTTGAATCTGTTTCCTAATAATCCCCAACACAGTCTGCCTTTTTCACTGCTGCAGCATATTGGGTTGACACTTTTATTTAAATATCTACTAGTACCCCAAGATCGTGTCCCCTCTCAGTCTCAGCAAATTCAGACCCAATTAGCATATACTTGAAGCTGGGATTTTTTTTTGTTCCAGTGTGCATTACTTTACACTTACCACAACTGAGCTTCATTTGTCACATTGTTGCCCACTCACCCAATTTGTGGAGCTCCTCCTCCTGAAGCTCTTCAGAGCCCTTACACCATTTTAAAATCACTTTAAAATGCTAACCAGGGCTGTGGTCAGACATGCCTTTAGATCGGACTCAGCTGCGAATGGATCTAAAGGGCACAATCAGACAGCCGCAGCCATCAGCACCCCGTACTGCCTTGCCATGGAAGCAGAGTTAAAAGACACTGGAGAAAGTCCAGTTCTAATGCTTGCTGACGAGCCACAGATGGATTTTCCCCTGTTTAATCGCTCAAGCACGCACTCAAGCCATCGGGATAGTCCATCAGTTCTATCCCAACTCTGTGCCTTCCCCCCTCTTGCTTAGCAGTATGCACATAACCGCATACTCCACAGGGAATTCTCAGTGCGGAGGTGCAATTCCTCATTTAGGCACATGGGAAACAAAAGGCAAAACCCCACACACTCACCCAAACATGCCATCTGATTGTGCATTGACAGGCTGAGCCCGCATCTACAAAGGATGTGTGATCGCGCAACACCATGTAAATTTCCACCAGGGGAAACAGGCTTGCTTCTCCTCTGCTCCAAATGGCACGTCTGACTGCGGCCCGTGAGTTTTCTGACATGTTTAGTTTGGCTCTGAATTCAGAACAATACTTCCCTATAGCATAGCTTTCCTGCTATTACTGCTGCTACTGCCCAGTTTATTTATATATTTTATTAATTGCCTTCGTTTCTGGAGAAGTATCCAAGGCTATTAGAACTGATAGAAAATCATGAGGCTGTTAAGATGATAATGAGACAAAAATCAAAAGCAGTCAGGGCTTTTTTTTTACAAGATTATTTTCTTGTAGATCAATTTTAAATGCCAAGTGAAATAAAGAAGTATTGACTTTTCACCTAAATCGTTTCAATGGGATGATATCCTTGTGGGCTTTCCTGGGATACCATCACTGAGACTGCTCTGTTTTGAGCCACAGAATATCTCACTTCATGTAAAAAAGATAACTAGTAAAAGTGTGCTAGGCACAGTATAGCAGACTACAGAAACTGATACATTCATGCTTTTAAAGGGAGAAATGCCTTCAAGCTTTGCTGTTCTTTAGCTCTGACCTGGATAGCCTGGGCAAGCCCGATCTTGTCAGATCTTGGAAGCTAAGCAGGGCTGTCCATGGAAAGTACTTGGAAGGGAGACCAAGGAATACCAGGGCTGGGATGCAGAGGCTGGTAATATCAAAGCCACCTCTCTGAAATGTCCTAAACCCACTAGGGGTCACCAGAAGTCACCATGACTTCCAGGCTCACAAGCGCATGCGCACATACACAAACATAAAATAAAATAAAAGGTTTGCTGTTTTTTTATTTTTCAGGCACATTAGAACAGGAATATATTCTGCCCAGGCTGCATACCTAACAAATGGGTTTATTCACAGGGAAAACTGCCAGCAACAGCAACGTGTTTTTCCATAACAAACAGAACAATCAATCTGTGTGCTATTTGAAACATAATTTTGTACAGACTCCCAATGGTCCCGTTAATATTGCTGTCTGATTGCTTTTTCTTTAACTATACCTTTAGCCTGACTTGAGGCTCCCTCCATTCATTTCCCATGGATTTCAGATCAGATTTTTGTTGGGTTTCTCATGATACAGTTTTAGTTTAACAGACTTTTGCAGCAATTTATATGCTGTCAATGCACAATATGCTCTTTTTCTGTCTACTGCGGGTTTTAATCTAGAGAACTGTACTGTAAAATCTGTTTGCTCAGATAATTCTCTCAAATTTTGTCATCTGTTTTCCTTTTAGCTTGCTCACTTTGAAAGTTTCTTTTCAGTCTTCATGTCCTCATTCCTACTTTGCCTGGTGTTAAGTCAGCTGAATAAGCTTTTCTGCAAATTTCTGTTTTTGCTAGTTAACTTTTCACTACTCACGGTAGTCATGTTATTGAGCATCATATTCCAAATCCTGCGGATTATCTAAGTCATTCCACAGAGACAAGAGTATGGTGTAGTGGGAGCTGCCGCAACATTCTCCTGTAAAGAGACTGAAGGACAATTCACATATTATAAAGTCCTAAGTGGCAGACATGTGGCCGCCATGCGGGCTTATGATCAGACATGTGCCTGGAATTCTGTGCTGGTTACCCAGTTCCAATGGACGCAATTCAGACAGAGACTTTTGCACATGGGAAGAAGAGGCCTCAGCCTCCCCTCCCCATCCTCCATGCCATTTTCTTGACCCAAAGTGACCATGGGGAGCTGCTGCTGTCCCTGCTGGGGAAAACATCAACATGTACTGATGTAAATTTCACCAGTGGGACAAATAGTGAGTGACTCCCACAGATACTGCAGGCTGAGGGGGAAGGATTAAGTATGCTCTCTGCACACTCATTTGGCCACCAGATGAGAAGGGAGCACTCACTGGAGAAGACCCTGATGCTGGGAAAGATTGAAGGTCAAAGAAGACGGGGACGGCAAAGGATGAGATGGTTAGACAGTGTCATAGATGCAACGAACATGAAATTGAACAAACTTCAGAGGACGGCGGAAGACAGGAAGGCCTGGCGTGATCTGGTCCATGGGGTCGCGAAGAGTCGGACTCGACTGTGCGACTGAACAGCAACAACTGCACACATTGTAGTCCTGATGGAGATCAGGCCCCCATGTGCCTGGGAACTGAGTTCTCAGCACAGAACTTAAAGCGCACATCTTGTTGGCAGCGTACTTGTCTGCCACATGGACTTTGCAACATGTGAATTGGGCTTCATGGTCAAGCTAGGCATGGTGAGAGGATCCATATGTATATTCATGCGTCATCTTGTTCAAGTGTAAAGTGGAAGCGGGATTTGTTTTTAATTTTAAAAAAATGTGGGAGGAATTGAAACTTATCCCTTTTTTTCTGCTGTTCCTCATTGTTTTAAGCATTTTTCTTCTTGCATGACTTGCCAACGCTGGATTAGTATATGCTTAAAACAGCAAAGAAGGGTAGTGTAGGGGGCACGTCCCATACACACTCCTGTTAAAAATAGACTCCCCCACACCCTCTGCTTTTTACATGAACAAGATAACACATGGAAAAGTACATGTGACTATTCCTGATACAAATAACTTGATTCTAAAGTAGCTGATCTACCAGATACAAAACCTTCGTTTCTCAACTTAGCCGCCTTAGTTGCTTCCCACTGATGACCTTTGTCTCCCTTTTGCACAAGAACACATTCACAGGACAGCTAAATTCCTTATAAGATTAATTACATATGAGGACAGTTGGGCTAATTCACCTTCATATAGCAAAATGAATAGAGACAGTCTAAGATTCAGTGTGATTCAGAACCAACCATTCTTCACTGGTTTTCCAACTTTATACCAACTTATATATCAAAACATTACAAAGCCATCTTGGTGTAGTGGTTAAGAGTGCGGACTCTAATCTGGGAGTACCAGGTTTGATTCCACACTTCTCCACATGCAGCTGCTGGTGTGACCTTGGGTCAGTCATAAGTTTTTTCAGAGCTGTTCTCTCAAGGGCAGTTCTTGAGAGAGCTCTCTCAGTCCCACCTACCTCACAGGGTGTCTGTTGTGGGGAGGGGGAGGGAAAGGGATTGTAAGCCGCTCTGAGACTCCTTTGGGTAGTGAATCCAGTCTCCTCCTCTTCACCTGCTCCCACCCAGCTGCTAGGACTGCTTTAAGTCCTTCTCAAAGGTCATGAAGCTTCTGCTCTGGCTGCTGCAGCCTTTTTGCAGGGTTAGCCCAAGGGAGAGCTAGAATGCACGGATCAGGCAGGAAAGGTTCCTTCGCCAGGAATGCTGCTTTCCAAGTATCTGTGAGGCTAGGTATTCTGTAGCCTGCCGAGACTTAAAGTCTGACTGCCCACTACTGATTCTCAGTTTCCAGCTAGCTGCTTTCCAACCTCCTTCAGCTGCAGCCCTTTATCTCTCTTCCCCTGGCTACTTCCAGCTCATACTTCCTTGTTCCTACTCCTGAGCAGGCCCTTTCTCTGTGTCCCCACCCCTCTTCCCCAGGGGTAGGGTGCCCAGGGCTGTGACACAGTTCCATATAATACTTTGAGAATGTGAAAATGGTGGATGTTAAAGGTGCTTCTTCACATGCACTGTGGGAGGGCTAGCATGCATCTGAAGGCACAGGACGCCCCCTGCACATCTGATACAAGTCCATTTATCATCCTTCAACAAACATGACTCTGTAATGTGTTGACTGGCTCTTAACAAGTATGTTGGGCAGAGTACAGAAAACAGGTTCACTGTAATCTCTAGGCATTGAAAAAAATGGGCTTTAGTGAAGCTATTATTGTGTCTTTACCAAAGTGGATTTTTGCTTTTAACCTGTATCAGACATTGTAAACGTTCCCATTATAACATCCATTTTCTTCATAACATCTTTTTATTTGGCAAATCTTTAATAAGACTATAAGAAGAAAATATTAATGGACCTCATTGATTCTTTAAACCCTTCCCATTTTTATATTAATATGAAAATTTGTATACTACAACAATGGAAGGTGTTCCTTCAAAAACATGAATGTCAGCTATTGAAACTTTCTGTGCAAAGAATAACCTCATGTTCTCTGTGTATTTAATTCCAGGATTTTTATATTGCTTTCCTGCTATTTCTCTCCTTGGTCTTTTCCCACAAATCAATACTTTCTGTATATACGTCCTGGAACAAGTAGATATGCTGCTATTTGGTGGTACTGGTAAGCAGTTTATTATAGCTCGATACAGTTTGCAATGTCTAACCCGAAAAAAATATTCATCAAAGCTAACTTTCTGTTGTAGTTTCTAGAAGTTACTAGAAGTAACAATGGACAAGATTTCTGTCCCTTTGTAGAAAAAAAGATTTTGGCAGGTGCAACTTTTCCTAACAAGCTGGACCTGTCAAAATCCCCTCTTCTGCTAAATGTGCACATTGAAAGCAAGAGCATTGATGTTTTATGCCTACAATGCTAAAGCAGCCTTATTTTAGTACATTACTTTCTTGTGGGGAAAAAAATTAAAAATTGTGATTACAAAACAAACAGGTTATCGAGGAAAACCCTCATTTTCCTTCCTTCTTCCACTTTTGTTAGCTAGTACACAAACAACTTCACAGGTTGCATGAAGGCCGGGGGGGGGGGGTTGACCAAAAGTTTGCCTTCCTCTAGCTTTAACACACTCTCTTCCTGCATCATGGTTATAATCTGTGTCAGGATTCCACATTTGCTTTTTTTTCTTTAACATCACTTGAAATCTCTATGCTCCCAGCATATGATCTGGCCCTAAAACTGATAGATAGGCAATGAGCTATTTAAAACAATATACATTGAACAAAATAAAATTGACACCGTGTGTATATAATCATGTGGCTTCTTGTGAGGGCAAAACATGCCAAAATTATTGTGGCACATAATGGCAATATTTCCTTTTGACTAAACTTTGTAACAACATAAAATAAAATTGGTTCATCAAAGGTGTAGGGCTTGGGAAAGTGGCAATGATAAATTTTAGCCCCCAGTTTTAAACTGAGTTTACTTTCAACTCTATGTTTAATTAGTAAGGCTGTCACCCGTACTGAGAAAAGGCATTGGAGGAGGAGACAAATACTACTCCGTAAGGAAATTAAGTTTCTGTCTAGCATATTTGTGCCCTGCCCGGCCTCCAAGGAGCTCAAAGTGCCATACAGGGTCTGCCTTCCCCACATTTTTATCCTCAATAAAACCCTGTAAGGTAGATTAGGCTGAAAAAGAGAGAACTACTGGCCCAAATCCAGACTGTGAGCTTCTTAGAGCCAAACTGATTATGGCAGCCATGGGGGACAGCCTTTGGCCACCAATGTCATTTTAAAGGAGAATTTAGCTGTTTAAAAATTGCCAGAAGGACATGATCCTGATCAGGCCTGCGGCATGGCAGCCATAGGCAATCTTGTTTCTCCCCCCCCCCAAAACTCTTTTGGCACTTTAAAAGGCATGAGGGGAGGAAACCAGATCATTTGTTTCCGCAGCATCATTCCCGATCAGGTCTGGCCCTCATGGCAATCTTTAAATGGCTAAATTCTCCTTTAAAATGGTGACAGCAGCCTAGAGTTGCCCAATGGCGGGTGTCACATCTAGTTTGGCCCTTAGTTAAATGGGGTTGTAGACTACTACTTTAACCACTACATCACAGTGCTCCCAGCATTCTCTGTGCTAGCTTAATGTGGCCACTTTTTATAGCATCTGGTGCTCTTCTCCATATCCTGCTTCCCATTGTGCACCTGAAGAGTTAACTGAGTGACCAACATGGCTGACCACCTGGAACAACCTTCCATGTTAGTGTGGTCACCACAAAGATCTTTTTAGAAACTGATAGATACAACTGTCAGCAAATTCATTCAAAATGTAGGTTGATTCCAAGGACGCCAGTGAGAATCATAGAGTTTCCAAGGATTACGTATAACCATTTGAAAGGCAACTAAATTCTGAAATTCTGAAATTGGGAACATCTGAGAGTTATGAGCAGTTTAGTCCACCAGGATAATTTCTTTTATAGGGTCCTGTGCAAGAAAGAAAGGCTGCTGTTATTCTATTATTCTGGATCTTGATCACTATTTTTAGCTAATTAGAAATAAGAACATAAGAGAAGCCTATGCTGGATCAGGCCAATGGCCCATCCAGTCCAACACTCTGTCACACAGTGGCCAAAAATATCAGGTGCCATCAGGAGGACCACCAGTGGGGCCAGGAGACTCTCACTGTTGCCCCACCCCCAGCACCCAGAATAAAGAGCATCCCTTGCCCCAGACTGAGAGTCCCTATCTATATCTTGTGGCTAATAGCCACTGATGGACCTCTGCTCCATATGTTTATCTAATTCCCTTTTGAAGCCGTAGCCTGAAATTACATATTCAAATAAATTCAGAAGTCTTTCTGGTTTGTATTATAGCTGTTATATCCACCCTGGAGTTATTACTTTTTGTTTTCTGTATTGCAGCTGTTGCTGGAATGATATCTTCACTCTACAGCATTTCTCGAAGCTTTATAGTTGTGATTGTTCTGTATGGATTCTGCTTCAATGCAGTAAAGGTAAGGAGGGGCAATTCTGCTCACAAAATAAGTCTGAACATATAATTGCCCTAGCCTCAGTTTCATTACTTTTTTCGAATGGCCAGTAATTTATATGGCTTAAAAATGTATTTAGGAAAAAAGCATGGGATACATGTTTCTCAATAGCTATTAGCCATGATGGCTGAATGGAACCAGAGGCAATGTGTTTGAGGGCTACACTGTATGTAAACATTGGGAATATATAATCAGATCCCCCAACCTTAAGATATTGAAAAAGGAGCTTTGGGAGGGGCCCGGTGAGGGGCCACAATGAGAAGGAAAGTGCTCTCCAGCCTGTACCATTTTACTGATCTAAACTGGCATTCCACCTGTCTTGTTGTTATCTCTGGTAGTGAAAAAACCCCACAAAATGTATGTATACTTGCTTTTTCTTTCTGTACTGGGCATAAAACAGCCATGAGTAGGGTGCACTTTTGATTGGAGGAAATGATGGGGGAAGTTAAAACGTCCTCTGCATTACTGTGACTCCCTGTCAACTCCGCTGGCCGCATTTTCCCATGAAATTGCATGCTGAAGATCTGATCACAGATCCACAATGTCATAGGTAATTAGCACCCAGCACTAGTTGTTAGGGAGCATCAGTGGGAGGAGGCTGTTGACTTCTTGTTCTGCTTGTGGGAATATGGTTGGCTACTGTGGAAGTCTAGTTGCTGGACTAGGAAGATCCTTGGTTTGGTGATCCAGAAGGACTGTCATTACAGGTGCATTGCCTGTTTGGGCTTTTGTATGGAGACCCTGTTCTACATTTTACATGAGTTTTCGGGTTGTGGGGTTGGAATTGCCTGTGCCTCCACCATGCAAAGAGAATTGTATTACTTCCTGGATAAAAACTGCGCCTTAGTCTCTTGTGCATACTGAAAAGGAGGAATTAAATATGGAAATGAGAAACTGAGTAATAGTGTATGAGATTGAGGAGGAGAGAATGAGAATCTAATGCAAGTGTGTTCATCAGTAACTATAGAATTCTGTTCTCTCTGAGGGTTAACTGAACTTCCAAATTGTCTTTGGTAAATAGCATTAAGGACAATCATTTTAAACATATTTTCCCATTTGCACATCTTTCCCCAGCACAATCATCTAAATTACACCAGGCAGGTGGCTTTGTAGATAAGCAATCTTGCCCATGGGCTAGACTTCTTACTGATTTGAAATGTGCTTATAATGTTACCCTGAAGTTGGAGAGTGCTGTGAAAGATTTACAAGATATCAGCTGCAAATTGCCCATATTAACTGCAGGTTTTTCGTTCACACAGGAAAATTACCCCTAATTTGAATTTTTATGGTCCTGTTCTCCTAAAGATATTCATAGGCAAAATAATTAAGTGTACAAAAATGATACCACCAATGTTCCCTCTAAGCTGAGTTAGTGTGAGCTAGCTCACAGTTTTTTAGCCTCCAGCTCACACATTTTTCTCTTAGCTTAGGAAGGAGGGCTCCAGAGCGAACTAACTTATGCAGCAGCCAAATCGCTCACTCACAACTTTAATGCCAGTAACTCACAAAATAGAATTTTTGCTCACAAGACTCCACAGCTTAGAGGGAACATTGGATACCACTACTTTATCTTTTAACCTAGTCCACCATAGTGTTTGTCCATAACCTTTATGCAGTGTGAAGGTCTGTGTTAAACTTGATTTCATTCTGAACATGACCTTAAATTATTTCTGGCCATATTTGTGATGTCAACTCATGTTTTCCTTTTAATAGATACTCTTCAATAGATACTCTTCCTGCCTAGTATTTTGCTTCCTGAACCCTTTTTAGACAGCTCGGAATACAGTAACCCAGAAGATGCCTTCCTTCCCAGAGATCTAATTTCTGTATACACTAATCAACATGTGCAGAAGTGAAATTTTAAAAAAGATAAACAAGGAAGTACATGGTTGCCTACCTCCAGGTGGGGCCTGAAGATCTTGCAGAAGTATAACTGATCTGCAGACTGCAGAAATCAGTTCCCCTGGAGCAAATTGCTGCTTTCTAGGGTTGCCAAGTGGCACTTACCCTTCCAGCGGGGGACTCCAGTTTGGCTCCTGGTGCGCGCGCACACACCGCATGCACATCACAGGGAAGTGACGTCATGACGCCGGGCACACTGGGGGCGGGGCCACGACCATACAAGGGAAAACCATAGAGTTTCCCCTTGTATGGCCGTGGCCCCGCTCCCAGCGTGCCCGGCGTCATAACGTCACTTCCCTGTGACGTGCACGCTGGGCCGGGTTCCCCCCGGGGCCCGATTCCCCGGCGTCGGGGAACGGGCCTCTGGGGCGGCGGGTTTTCCACCCCCCGGGGGGATTTGGCAGCCCTACTGCTTTCGAGGATGGATTCTACAGCATTACACCCTGTTGAGGTCCCCCCCCAAAAAAATCTCCAAGAATGACCCAATCCAGAGCTGGCAACCCTAAGCAAGTAACAGTTTTGAAGATGAGCTGGTAATATAGACACTGTTAATTTTAAAAACAGAAGTCACAGGATATCTGGACAAATGGTAATGAAACAGAAAGTAAAATCAAAAGTTTTGTGAGGTTGCTCTATTAAAAATATAGTGTAGCTTTCTGTTCCACCAATTTCAAAAAAGGATATGGAAGAACTGGGCGACAATAATAAGAGAATGGTTTCCATATGAACACCAGCTAATAACATCACAAATGTTTAGAAAGAAACAGATGGGAGCAAAGGGCTACCAAATTATTTGGGACATTGGGGGGGGGGGAATAACATCCAGCTCTCTGTAAAAATTACCAATAGAGCAACCAAATTTAACATTGGGTTAGAAGAACCAAAACAAAATGTTTGTTCTTGGACCACTGACCCATGCAACTCATGCCTGAAGGCTGTAATGATGGCGAGAAGTAGTGGAGTTCTGCGTACTCTGCTGTAAGACAAAAACATCAAGATTTTTCACCAAAGAAAGCCCAAACCTGTGATCTGTTTAAATTATCCATCCCCAGGGCTTTTTTTGTAGAAAAAGCCCAGTAGGAACTCATTAGCATAACAGTCCACACCCAACAGCAGAAACTCATTAACATATCAGGCCACACCCATGACAGTACAGCTCATTAGCATATTAGGCCACACACCCCATGTTGCCAGAAGTCTGGTCATCCAGCCACACCCACCTTTTGCTTCTTATTCTGTTTACCTTGTTTGTTGTCAAAACCCAGGGCTTTTTTTTTGTAGCAGGAACTCCTTTACATGTTAGGCCACACATCCCTAATGTAGCCAGTCCCAATGAGTTCCTGCTGTTGGGTGTGGCCTATTATGCTAATGAGTTCCTGCTTGGTGTGGCCAACTCAGGAGCCAGCCGGAACTCCGTTCCTGTGCGTTCCTGCCCAAAAATAGCCCTGTCCATCCCTATCATCCTCAGCTGACTGAAGATCTCTGCCCCCCCCCGTGATCCGCCATTTCTCCCTTATTGCTCCTTAAGTCTGGACCCTTGTCTCTCACTTCCAAAACCCTCTTCAAAAGTAAATATTCCCATTAAATCTCTCTTATAGTACTTTAGTCTGCATTGCCTACCAACACTAATTCCTAAAGACATACCAATCCAAAGCCTTTTATTGGCATATAAATAAAAATACAGTAATCTAAGTAGACACAGAGTCAAATTAAAATTGCCGAGTAACATCACAGAGTATCATCATAAAAAAACCCTAATTCATCATATCATTTATCAGGCCTTAGGGCCATGGCACTGCAGAGAAACTTTGCTGTTATTTCAGTTATTTCTGTGTCTGTGTTATCGAG